TCGATAGATCCTTTGTACTATTTTAGCACCTTCGAATCTTAATCGTTTCTTTGGAGAGAAAAGAAACAAGTTTAGGTTACTTGTTTAAGATATATATAGCTTATCTCAAAAACAAATGCGATCTATCTTCTTTCGAAAAAAGATGACGACGGTGTCAATTAGAAACATTCAATATTTATTGAAAAACTTATAAATTTAGTACTATTATAACGAAAAGAATCCTTTTTGATTCGAGGATCGCAAGCCGACTATCAATATCATACAAAAATAGATCTCTGGCTGTTATTAAGTGTAATTTCATCAGAGTCAAATATTTCAATACACGTTCAAGTGATTAAGTTTAAAAGAATGGTCTTGACTACTTCGCAAAAAAAAAAAAAAACGTTTGATAAGCAAACTTTAATAATCCATATAAATTTTTGATGTTATAAACATTTTTAAAATCAGCTTGAAACTCCAAAAAAAACAGAATCCATAGTTGTGAAATGGTCAAAATTATTCGTTAATGAATTATTATTCGTTTTAATGACCATTTCACCATTATTTATTTGAAAAGATGCATTTTAATGGTCGAAATGGTCTGACTACAAGTAATAAGACATTTTAATGGCCATTTCTTCATTATTCACTTGACTGGCTATACGATGCCGTACGTTCAAATACAATCAATGCATACGTTGAAAATAAACGACTGTCGTGTACGAGTGTAGTATACGACGGTATGTGGTTGTAAGTTAGTCGTAAATTCCCAGGTTAAAAACCTGACGTCAGATCATGTAAGACCCGAAAAGACCTTACCCTTATAAGATTTTCTCTATGAGCTTGTCACAAGAGCATATGATTTCGTATGTGTTCACTTTTTTTAAGATTTCCTCAGATTTTGACCATAAGATGTTAGCAAATATCTTACAAGATTTAAAGATTAAGAAACGTATAAGTACAAGCTGAATGTTTCTCCTCAGGTCTTATTAGATTATATAAGATTCATGTAAAAAGAAACATATGACAGTACATTATGTAGATCTTGTCTGTTCTTACTTGATGGTGTATGGTCTCGCCTGTTCTTTAACTTATTCGAGAATTGTTGATTTGATTAATTTTACTATGAAGAAGAGTGGTTAAAAAATAGGACTAAGCTGTGCACCTAATTTGTTCTCGTACTTTTCTCTTTTTATTATATAGAAAATCTTCACTGTCATTTTTTATTTTTCTATATTAGTGATATAGAAAATTTGAATTTGAATTTTTTATCTTTCTAAACTGATATCATCGGAAATGGTAATTTAATTTTAATCTTTCTATATTTAATAAAATTGAAAATCCTAATTTTCATTTTTTACTTTTCTATAGTGATACTGTAGAAAATCTTAATTTTTACTTTTTATTTTTCTATAGTTGATATTATATAAAATCCTATTCATTATTTTTCATTTTTCTATACTGATAATATAGATATTTCCATTTTTATTTCTTCCTTTTTCTATTTTGGCAATATAGAGAATCCCATTTTTACCTCTCATTTTTCTATATTAATAATATAGAAAATTATATTTTTTAGTTCTTATTTTCTATATCAATAAGATAAAGAACGATTAGTTTTAATTCTTATTTTTCTATATTGATAATAATAGAAAAATAAAAAAAGGGTCTTCTATGGTATCAATATAGAAAACTAAGATATAAAGCAAACTGTTATTTATATAACTAATATCGACAGTTAAGAAATATAAAATAGGATTTTCTATATTATCAATATAGAAAAATAAAAAATTAACAGAATTTATTATTTTATCACCATAGAAAAATAAGAAATACAAGTAACCGTTTTGTATACTGTTAATATAGAAAGATGAGAAATAAAAATAACCGTTTTCTACACTATTAGTATAGAAAAAGAAGAAAAAAACTGAGGTACACTGCTCCATCCTTTTTTCCAGGTACTGTTCTTCATCAGAAAGCTGATGAAATCAACTATTCTCGAATAAGTGAAAGAACAGGACGGACCCTATACGATCAGATAATAATAGGCAAGATTTACAATATGTACCGTGTATGTTTCTTTTTTTGGATCTTATATGATCTGTGAAGATTTGACAAGAAACATTCAGTCTGTCCTTATAATTGTTTTAATCTTTGAATCTTGTACGGTTATTTACTAACACCGTACAATCAAAATTTGAGGACATCTTTAAAAAATGAACACATAGGATATTGTCCGATGTTGTAACAAGATCATAGGAAAAATCTTATAAGGATAAGATCTTATTGGATCTTACACGATCTGGCATCTGGTTTTTCGATTTTAGTACAACTCTTCCCACGTTGAGATATTCAACAATAAGATTCATCACAGATTGAGGTGTAGGTGTAATTATTGTATGAACCCATACCCACAACCTTATTAATTTATGTTTTTTTTATGTTGACTCGAGCATTAGTGTGGTATACTGTATTTTAGATTAGATCTAAAACTAATATTTCTATTATATAGTTAATTTGCTATTTGATGACTTTTATTTTTTACTTTTAGACTAAATAACTTTTGTTTTTTATTTTTGTATTAAATAAAGTTTATTTTGTTATTTTTAGATTACACAATTTTTTTTAGATTAAATATATGTTAGCTTCCATTTTTTAGATTATTAAAAAGGGTAAATAAAATATTTTAGTATCACTTTAATTAAATGGGGCTGTCCAATTTAGCTAGAGGTCCTAATTCTATTTTTCTCGTGCCACCTTGATGATATAACAACACAATACGATGATATATCATCGAATCTGTATGAGAAAAAAAGAATTGAGGACTCCAGTCAACCTGGACACCTCAACTATGAGTTTTTCTTTTTTGGAGAGAGGGGGAGGGGTAGGTAGCAAAACCTTGCACGGAATACGATCACAATCTACATTGTATACGACTCTGTATGATCATTTTCAATGGTTGTAACAAGTCGTATTTCGTCGTATACAGCACGACAATTTACGATCGTCATTCTGGCGACAAGTAATACGGCGGAATACGGTCGTCGTACACGACCGTTTACGACTGTCGTAACGCTCGTCCTGGGTATTTGATATATGCCTATATTCATTGAATAACAAAAATTATCCATTAAAATTTTTTTCACTAGCAGACTAATATACTAGACATCAAACGAGATTTTCAGATACTGATGATAAGAGAATTTGGTATATCTCTTAAGTTGTACGTGGGAAAAGACAAATGATGGGATATTTGCTTTTTTTCCTGTTGATGAAGTAATATGTATAGTGAAAAAGAAAAACGATAAGATAGACCTTGTTTGCTTCACCAAGCATAGCATATATCTTTTGACATTTTTTTAACTCCTTCTGGATGCGAAGTACATATATATATGTGCTTGAGTTCTGATTCAGCTAGTAGCTAACTTCTGCATGTTTCTTGTAGTGGTGTAGGTTGAAATTTCTCACTAGCAATGAAGAAGAGATTAATTAATGAAAGAAAATTTTTACTAGGAGGCTAAAGTCGTTTTTCAGTGGAAGAACTATTGTTCATTTTTGGAGCTCATTCTTCTCTAGTCCCTTGAAAGCTACTTCACTAATCTCTTATAATATTTTAGAGACAAACACAATCCTAAACACTATCGATCCCCTATTTGAAATCTATCATGAAACTATTATTCGCATTTTGGTCTCATTCATCTACTTTTTTTTCTTTAGTTAGAATCAGTACTTCTATGTTGTTTTCTTAGTTTTTCGATGAATGATGACAGTTATTATCAATGTCTCATTTAGTACCCTTGTTATATTCATAGGAATTCTACTTCTGCTACTACATTCTGATTCTGCTCATCATTTCAATAAGCTGTATATATGTATATTACATCGTCTCAGAGTTTGTAACACTTATATTTGTTCCCACAATTAACCTGTCCTCAATGGTTTAAACATAACAAAAAAAATTATATAATCATTGCAACTGTCACAAATATTAATTTGTACTTATCTTTTTCTCTTCGCTTGTAGGTGTCGCAGGGCGCAGAATACAATATCCGTATATACTGGGAAACGGCCGTATTCTGATATGATACATGATTCAATATTACGAGCATATTTCTTCATATCGTATATGAAGAAATATGATCATAATACTGAGAAATGTAATATGCTAATATATGACGACTTACGGTCGTTTTCTAGTTGTGCTTGTTTGATCTCGGTTAAATTATCAAACACAATTCATTTTTATTTATTATTATTCAATATTTTCTTTGTTTGTTTGATGTCTTATGTATTTGAGCGAAATTATGTCTACTAGTCTAGGTAACTATCTCTGCTTTGACTACGCACATTATTTTGAGTTATATTGAATACAAAATTAATTTTGTTTAGAGTTATGTTCTATACGTTATTTGAACAAACAATTGTCTGAGATACGTTTTTTATTGGTCACTTAGTACCTTTAGCTTCTTTTAAACTTGAATCATGGAGGATATTTTTGTTTATAGCAATAAATCGTTAATTATGCCTTGCGTCTGAATTGAAACATTGAATTGCTTATAATAGGAATACTTTTTTAAGATATACAATTAAAGTCGAAGCAGCATATTCGGCATTTGGTATTAAGTTTAGTTAGAAAGATTTGACAAGAGAATCTTAGTCATTCTTAAGCATTATTAACATTTCTACTGAAGCTACATAATGGCAATTAGAAATATGAATTCAAATCTTCAGCCTTGACATGTATTTTATGAAAAATAATATCCATTTTTTTATCAGAAAGAAAAGCTGTAAAAATATGTATAGGTAACCTACAATACCATTTTCTTGTTTTAAAATATCTACTCTGTTGAAGTATGTGTGCATGACATTTTTTTTACATACATTCTTTTTTTATTTATTTAACTACAAGTTATGCTTTTTTCTTCTTATCTCCACCGTCCTTTTATAAAACGACGTATTTCATTAAAGCCTGTCGAACATTTGCTGAAAATAGCCAACAAATACTATTAGAACTTTAGTACATGGAACAAAAATTTACATATATATCAAGTATATCATCATCTGCAACTTACACACCGGAAACAAAATTAGATATTATTGCATTTGCAATGGGTAATCCAGCAAATAAGACAAAAGCAAAATTAAGTAAAAACAATGAAAATTTATTAGGCTCTGATATGGCCAATTTATTTACTAAACGATATAATTATGAACTACAACGTTGTTCACAATTTTATTCGTTGGCGAGTATTTATAATGAAACATCTACGAAAGATAAACATCGAATGAAAATAAAAAATATGAAAAAAATTTATTCGACTGGGCGAAAATATATTGCACGATTCTTTATATGTTCTTAAGAGTAATATTACTTTGTTTAAATCGAATTATGTATAGAAATGAAAAAATTTTTTTGAAGATATTTCAGTCTTGTTTATCAATAATCTCAAGATCAATCGCATAGAATTATATTTCGACAGATATTTTTGATTTTGTAATTATTTAAGAGAGATATTTGAATTATATTCGTATTTCATAAAGTTTCATCAGAAGTGATAAAAGAAAAAATAAAATTTTAATCAAGCTTGACTTTTATGATAACGATAATAAGAAGAAGAGAAAAACAAAATGTGTATGAATAGATTAAATATTATCATCACCTATGGGATTTCTTTGAGTAAACCAGTTTTTGTATTGTATACAAATCCTCGTACGGTAACATTTTGATTGAGCATAGGATATTGTTTATATTCAGCTAAATCATCACGAATAGATTGTTCTAAATCAAGGATTGGCATAAAATCTGGTGTATTAGATGCTGATACTTGTCCAGGTATTGTTTGGAAAATAGGTAAATTGCCGACGTAAGTACCTGGTTGTAACTAAAAAGACATTAAGAATTTTAAAAAAACTAAGATAATATGAAATGATAATAAAAACTTTACTTTAAGAGCAGCTAAAACTTGATCATTGTTTGAAAAATAGGTAAAACCACAATCAGTATGTTGAATAATCATTACTTCTCTTGTTTGTAATAATGTTTGACTACAAATAAGTGAACGAACAGCATCCCGAATACGACCCCCACCTGAAATAAAATTAAATAATTAGTCAATTGAAAAGATTGATAATTTACTTACCATTCCGAATGATATGTGCTTCTCCTGGTTTTAATCCAAGCATACGAAATACATCCAACCGTGCATCCATACAACATACAACAGCTAAATGTTTTGAAGGTGGAGCCCGAAAATCATAGATTTTTTCATCATGACTTCGAGCATACTCAGCGTTTTGAGCACAACATTGGTCAATAAATGATTCTGAAGACGAAAGAATATTTGAATCAATAGCAGCTGCAATAACTTTATGCATTATTTGTTTATGTCTGAAGCTATCTCTATGATTATAACAGTGAAGAAATGAAAAAGAAAGAAATGTACTAGAAAAAAGAAAGAACAGAATGGCAGCAAGGTCATTAAGGTTGAAAAAAATGACTAAAGCAAATGATTGGTATTTTATTCGTTAGGTTTCCTCCATTGATACGTATTAGAATATATTAACCTGTAGTGGGATTTATGATGTTTTTTAACACTATTGAGAGAGTTATTCTTATTTTTCATTATTATTATTTTTGAATATTTCTTGAAATTTGATGAAGAAATTTGATCATGCATGAGTTAAATATCATCCATACACAAACTTGAAACATTCCTTGGTAAAAATGAAACAAATAATATTTATCAAAATTTAATGTTCAATTTTTTTTCTTAATATCTAGAAATACAGTTTTTATTAGAAAAAAAAAACTACAACTTTAACAAATGAACGATCATTTTTTTATATTGAGATATTTATGTAACGGATGGTAATGCTTTAAGTAAATCATCTCCTATTTCAGGTGCTGATTTCTTAATCAAATCATCAACAACTTGTTTGTCTAATTCTTTTTTTTCAATTACATCTTCTTCACTAGGAAGAAACGGTGTAACATCAACTCGAAATTCTTCTGTCGATGGTGGACAGTAAACTGAACATCCAGTTACAAATGGACCAACTTTTGTTTGCGAATGCGTGCTGACTTGTTCAATGAGTGCTTGAAAATTTTCTATTAATTGTTCTTGAGGCATATTTATCTAAATTTAATTCATATAAAAATAAATATATAGATAGAATTAAATAATTGAACTACTAACAATGCCAAATCGAAGTTCAAGTATAGCACGAGCTTCTTCATATTTAACTGATTGATATTCTTTACCACGAATAAATTTTTCTAACATTTTATCAACATTTGGATGAAGACTACCTATGAAAATCAAAAAATAAAAGTTTATTTTAAATTAAATTTAACTGTTTAATTTTATACCATATTGTGGATTAGGAAATTTTTCTTTCGAAATTTTTTTTCTTAAATGTAAAATATCAGCATAAACATCAGGTGCACATAATACATATTCATAATTTGTATCAGTAACATCACCTCGTTCAAACTATGACAAAATAAATTATTTCACGAAAAAAAAAAAACTAAATCTATTTTATTATACTTGTTTAATCACTTCAGTATAACCAAACATGTAAGCACCGTGTTTTTCTATGAAAAGAAAAAAAAATAGTTTCATTGAAGAGAAAAATAAAAACAAATTCTTACCAGCTGCTTTAATATGTTCAGGAAGCTAAAAAAATAGAAAATCTTTAAAAACAAAAAAAAAATGAAAAGTTTAATTAAAATTCTTTACTCGACAAAAAAGGACAACATTTTTACGTGGTCGATCTTCAAAATAGTGTGGAAATGTTACTAAACCTCTGACATTTTCAACAAATTTCGTCTAAAAATATATAAATAATTAAAAATATGTAATTTAAAATGTAACCTTTTTCGATGTTGTCATATCAAGTTTAAGTCGTGCCCAAACAAATGAATCCATTGAATTAAGCATTTTTGGTTGTACCATTTCTCGATGCCATTGTAAAACTGTTTCAAGTGGCCATGATCGAACAGGATATTCTTTAACTAACCATACTTTATCAATTGGTTTTCTTTTAGCAAATTCATCATCATAAACAACCTCAGCTTCGATTGTTCGAACTCTAAACAAATCAAAAATAGAAATTTTTCTTTTTCTATATAATTAACGATTATTTTCAATATCATACGCTGTTTTCTTTTGTGCCCATTTATCACTTGGTTTAGCATGTGTAGGTACTCGATGACGAGTAATTCGTCGTACCATTTTTGTTCGTATTGATGGCTGAATTTGTATGGTTGGACGAAGAAACGATGAACTTCCTATACTTGACCATAATTGTCGAACTAATATAGTCGTCATTCTGTTTATCTGGAAAAATATAAATTTTATTGTTTTTCTAGGTCAATATATTTATTGCAATCAAAAGAATAAAATACACATCATTGCGTACATAGAAGACAAAGACACAGTAGCAAAACTAAATCACTGGAGTATTTTCGGAAACAACACTTTAGCTAAAGCAGCAATAGTAACAATAACTATTGGAATAGCATAATAAAATTTTGATCGTGGTACTCGAAAATGTTGATATTTACGATCTAAGAAAAAATAAGAAAAAAAAAATCAAATAAATTTTTCTTCTCATTATAGAATAAATGAAATAATTTACTTTGATTTTCAAATGTATATAGATCAATATCATCATCTTTTAATTGATTATTATCACGCAATGATACTAAAACTTCTGATGCTGCACGTCGTCCAGCATCAACCGCACCATCCATATATCCCATCCATTGACTAGCTGTTTCTGTACCGGCAAAATGAATATTTTTATATGGTTTTCTTAAGCCATCAACAAAATCTTTCATTGATCCTGTCGTAACATTATGACATGGACATCCACCTGAATATGGTTCTAAATTCCAATCTTTTTCAACATATTCAATTAAATGAGTGGAAATTTTATGACCACCAAAATATCGAGACAGACATTCAGTTAAACCTTTACGTCGTTCTTCATATGTTACACTTGTCCATACAGAAGCACATTGACCACCGATAAAACCTATCAAAGCGGGTGTACCATTCGAACTTGTACCATCAATCAAATCTAGAGAAAAACAAAAATATTATCCTAGTTCAGCTTTTCTATTTCATTCGCATGAAGAATTTGAGTTTCTTAGACAAGAAATTCATAGAATTTGAGTATATCATAACGTAACACTTGAATTATTGGCCAAGCGTTAGTGTTTCCTGTTTGACAACATGTAATGTGCTTAAATATAAGAGAAGATTTTTTCTACTGTTTTGGCAGTTCTCTCTATGTAAACGTTAGTAATTGTCAACTATTTAAGGGTACCCGCTCCCTCTTTTTTGACACTTTCTAGTTCTCGAAGACGGTACAACCGATCAAGCTCAAATTTTCAGCACAGATAGAGCATCAAAAATAACGAGATACGTGTTCGAGGAAAAAAAATTTAAAATAGGTTTTTATGGAGTTTTTTGGAAAACTCTGGTTTTCCAGAGGTCCACATCCTGACACATTACGCCCCCCCTTAAAGTTTGTCTGATTGGGCTGAAATTTTGTTTGTAGACGCCTAACACTATTTTCCAGAGGTAAATTTAAGGATTTCCAAAAATCTTACTTTCTTTCTTTTTTATAAGCGAAATACGCTAAGATTTGAGTTTGAGCTTCAGATCTTGACTTTCATGATCCGGTAACTGCGAGCAGAAACGTCAAAAATGAAAACGCTTGATTTTACCTCTGGGGAATACTTCGAAGCATTAGTGGTGAAATTTTCAGCTCGATCGGACAAACTAAAAAGGGGGTCGTAAGCAGTCAAGATCTAGAAAATCGCTGTTTTACAGAACACTAAGTAATAGAAAAAAATTTACATACGATTACTATGAAAAAAAAATTTTTCTCGATCTCATAACTATGTAAAAGTAAGATATTTAGAGTCGAATAATGTCTCTAATGTCGGCGCCAGAATTAAAGAGGGGTTGGTGTAAATTGAATAACTCAACAACGGCAAGAGCTACCGACCTGCGGTTTTCACCAATCGAAAGAGGAGGAGAGGGGACGTCTTTTTCTCTCATAATGTATAAGACGAAATCCTTTTAAAACTAAGCATATTCGAAAAACCTGCAAAAGAACCCATGAAAATGACCTGCCAGTTGGAAGAAATTTTGATTTTGACCTTTGATTTAGATAGAGGGACTTCAGATCTATAGTTCAAGACACAATGTACTTCCTTACTTTTTCTTACATTTCCATCGAAATCTCAAGCTACTAGGATAAAAAGTGGGAAAACTGAGAAAAAAATCAGCAAAATTCCCGGTTATTTGCGCATGTAAGTGCATGATTCCATTTGCTCAGCGTT